TCGCAGTCCCGCTGACCTACGTCATCTCTGGCGTCGGAAAGACGTCCAGTTGTAGTTAAAACAAGGGTATATAATGCTTGTGTGAGTGTGTTCTGCTTTGCTCTGCGGTTCGGAAACGTGGCCAGTTCGTGACAAAATCTCAACAGACTTATTGTGTTTGACCACACCTCTGTCTCCGTCAATTAACCCACATCAAGTAGAATGATCGCGTAAGCAATAACGTCGTTTGCCGGCACGTATTCTGGGCAGCTCGGGATGCACGATCAATTGATCAACTGATTGTTAAACGACCTGCGATGATCGGGTCATGTACTCCGCATACCAGCTGAGCGTTTGCCGTACCGGCAGTTAGGTAAGTCCACATAATGTTTAAGCAACGACATTGTCTCCAAATGTGAAGACCCTGACTGTTCTGTTGAGTAGAGTGGGTAAGAGGTAGGGGTCCTCGTGCTCACTTAAATCGCTGGCTTGGAACGCTATCCGATATGGCAATGTGTCGAATCAGTGGAGTACCTAAATTCATCAAATTATACTTCCTTAAATCAAGAAGTGATTTTTTAAATTTTTTTTTTTCCCATAAAGCTTAGTTAGGCAATGCAGTCGCCGAGTCTGGTTATTTTGCTTTGGTTGCTGGTTCGAATCCACTCAAAGCCCAGACTTTTTACAACTAGGTCTTTCTACCTCACGTAATGAACTATTGGCTAGTGAAGTTTCATCTAGAAGAACGTGCAGTATGTAGATTAAAACTACTAGCTTAGGTGCCCTCCACAAGCCCAATGACCCGGCATTTGCTCTAGTAGATAAGATCCTGAATTGCACTTATGTCTGTTGTTTACACCTCAAAGTTCCGAGTGCCCGACATTCATGGCACTGCTTACATTCAAGTTGTTCGAAACAGGTATACACCACAGAAAACCACCACTGCAAAACGAATTTGCCAAGTTAACGGGAATAATCAAAGAAAGATCGAAACAGACTAGAATGAAGCATCAGAGGTCACATGCGCATTTATTCGTTACCGCGATAAGTAAGACGCTGATTTTGATGGCACCGCAGGGGAAGTCCTCTATAGGCCTTACCATCAGAACTGTTTAGCCGATGATGTAAGTGTAATTGTGTAACAGAAGTTTACACTTTAATGTTCAAAATATCTGTCAAACTTGTTATCAAAACGTACACCGCTGTGTACGTTACGTATCCATAAATTAGTATTAAACCCCGAATATCAGCATAAAGACAGATTACCAATAAAGTGGTGACATGATTTAAGAGCGGTACACAAACGGATTGCAGGTTTGTTTCAGTGTTATCCTATTATACGATGGTGATTTCGACTTGGGGGGGGGGCTACGTTTTAACGGCTCATGGGATCGGGTTCGTATCCAGAAGATTCGGTTTACTAATGGAAAAACAAAAACACTTTAACAGCCAGACTGTCAGTGCATGTATTTTCCCTTCATATAACTTCCCTGTGACCCAATGTCAGTTTAAGATGACCAGAATCTTTTCTTTGACCTTGCACTATATCTTCAGTCAGGACGAGGATGGAAACGGATAGATCACGTTGAATCATCAACACGGTTCGCAAGGAGTTCTGTACCGTCTATCTACTGTGCGAGATCAGTAGCAGTGAGTTGCATAAATGATAAACAATGCACTATAGGGGAGTCATAGTTAGCAGTGTCAGTGCCTGCATGACATATGTAGTGAGTGTAGCCGTTCCATTGTGCAAGAGTGCCTGCTATAAGCAAAATTAAGCGAAACAGCCAGTGCGAATATGGAAGAAACATTCGGACTGTTATGGCAGTGGAAATGTGCACTTTAGTTAAAAAGCCGTATACTCATATACTGTCGCCGCAAATGTAGTGTGATTAAAGATGTTTTGGGTGACAGATTGACCAATCACTATAGAACGTCCATTGACCACAGGTCCAGTGTGATCTGTTAAATCTGACCATCATCAATGTCTACCATGTGTGTTGCTGGCGTAGCAGATGCTCGGCTGCTATAGAGTGTTAAGTCGCTGAAGGACGTCACCCTATACTTATCATATGGATCAATGGAGATCAGTGAGCTCACGTGAATTTGGGCTTGCCCTGATTGAATGGAGTTGCCTGACTAAGCTCCCGGCTACAGTGGTTTTTCCTAATGGTCTGTTTATAGTGGAAAACAAGAACTAATTAAATTATGCAGCAATGTGGTTAGGAAAAAGCATGATTGGAAGTCTCCAAGGTGTTAACCAGCAGTTCACGTGATAGGATCTGGCGAAATGATTAAGTTTCCGTTTCCTCCAGATGACTGTCCAAACGTGGATTTCTATGGTGTCCAGTGAACTCTTGACACAACAGTCTTCTTGATCTGGACAAACCATTCTGGAGTATGTTAGTTACTTGGCCGATATATACGTATTACTAACTATCCTACCAAATAACCACAACCCATATATTCCAAAATACTATTTATCTGTATCAGCCCCCTAAGTTAGGACATTTGTTTCGATGTGGGGCATTCACGGGGTTCTTTAATCCACCTTTTGACAGGTGCATATGTTTATGTGTACACAAACGATGAGGTCGAAACAAGTACTACCAGCTTCTTCAGTGTATTCAATAACCCGTTCTTCTCGTGAGTGGCCTTGGTTACCTTGTGAATAGCAAGGAGATATTTGAGTATTTTCGACTGATCGTTTCTTTACCTGTTAAGTACACCTCGTTGTGTATATGTTACGGAAATTGATCAATCAACCATCAACGGCCGACTCTGCATTGGCCTTGTTTACTGTTGAGTTTATTTTGAGCATCCGTGATGGTCAACATTATTTTGTAACCGCTGGAACTGATTACTATTGATTAGAGTACATGAGCTTTCACATCACACATTTCGCCTCGTACCTATGTTACAGAAAACATCCTTTGATTGCCTAAGGTGTGAACCTCAAGACCATTTCAGAAATTATTTGTTATCTTGCCAACACTGAATGGAATGTAAAAGAGTCTTGAAAAGCGGATATCACCCTAGATGAATTTAGTCCAGAATACGTGATCAATTGGACTTTACTGTCTGAATGTTACTTAGTGGATTAAGTGTTTACATTTCAAAGATATACATCCTTGTCAACTGAAATGCTATTTCAAAAAAATAAATTTCGATCAAACTATAAAACATTCTCAGTCAACTATATCATTTCCTAATTTATCTGAGACCGATTCAGTTACATTACAACAAACCACCATTATAAGCAATAGGTCACCGTACCGCAAGAAGTGTCTGCTTCTGCATTGTGGGTCCCACTTTTATGGGGTCATAGCAGGCACAATGTCTAAACCTGCGCACGTCTGTTCACTATAACGAACTGGACAAAAGAACCATAGCTTAACGAATCTGGTAACGCCAGCGAGTGTCACCAGATGCAGGTATGTGGTTCACACCCACACCCGATGCTGCTGATGGGAAAGGAATTATTGCTTTGTGTAGCAGCGGTATATGTTACAATGTCATGTAACGATCCACGTCTGATCGTTGAGTTACGCGTAGCCCAAAACGGATCCCCAAAATGAAAACAAGATTGGACCCAACAATTTCTACGGTACTATTAAAGAAAT